ACCCTGCCCCTCCTGCACCACGTGTCTCAAGTTCTTTAGATTCTATATTTCCCATGCTATTCTTGCCCCCCCATCTATTTTCTATCTACTGTCTATGCTACTTATTTTCTGTACCTTCTCCCCCCTCTCCTCCGCCCACTCCCCTGTTGCTAACCCTCCTTGAGATCTTCATTTCTATGTTTCCACTCCTGATCTAGCTGTCCTTTTAGTTTGCTTTTGTTTTAGGTGTGGTTGTTAATAACTGTGAGTTTGTTGTCCTTTCACTGTTCATGTTTCTTTAACTTCTTTTTCTTCGATAAGTCCCTTTAACATTTCATATAATAAGGGCTTGGTGATGATGAACTCCTTGAATTTGATCTTATCTGAGAAGCACCTTATCTGTCCTTCCATTCTAAATGAAAGTTTTGCTGGATAGAGCAATCTTGGATTGTAGGTCTTTGGATTTCATGACTTGGAATACCTCTTTGCAGCCCCTTCTTGCCTGTAAGGTCTCTTTTGAGAAATCTGCTGACAGTCTGATGGGGACTCCTTTGTAGGTGACTGTCCCCTTAGCTCTTGCTGCTTCTAGGATTCTCTCCTTCATTTTAATCTTGGCTAATGTAATGCTGATGTGCCTTGGTGTGTTCCTTCTTGGGTCCAACTTCTTTGGGACTCTCTGAGCTTCCTGGATTTCCTGGAAGTCTATTTCCTTTGCCAGATTGGGGAAATTCTCCTTTATTATTTGTTCAAATAAGTTTTCCACTGGTGGCTGTGCCTTTCCCCCTTCTGGTACCCCAATAAGTCGGATGTTGGAGCGTTTAAAGATGTCCTAGAGGTTCCTAAGTCTCTCCTGATTTTTTTGAATTCTTGTTTCTTCATTTTTCCTATTTGGTAATTTTTTTCTTCCTTCTGGTTCACTCCCTTGATTTGAGTCCCAGTTTCCTTTCCATCACTATTGGTTTCCTGTGCAATTCCCTTCATTTCAATTAGTTTAGCCTTCACGTGTTCCTCTAATTTGTGACTAAAATCAACCAGTTTTGTGAGCATCCTGATCACCAGTGTTTTGAACTGTACATCTGAAAGTTTTGCTATTTCTTCATCACTTAGAGTTATGGGCTCTGGGGCTTTGAGATCTTCTTGAGCCATTTTTGGTCTGTTCACGCCCATTAATTATGAGGAGGGGAGCCTTAGTTGTTCACCAGGGTAGGGTCACTCAGGTTGCTGGGTTGTGATGATGTATGTGGGGGTGGGGTCAGAGTGGGAAATGGCGGCCCCCTCTGCTGCCTCTCACCTCTGGGGCCTGCTGGGCCCTGTCTCACCACCCACTCCCTCACTGGTCTATCTGCACACAAATGCGCAGTCCACAGTCAACCCGCTGCCCTGCGCCCTCGCTGGGTCCGCAGGTCACTCACTGGGCCCCTCACTGGGTTGCTCACTGGGTCTGCCCGTTGCAACCCCACACCTGGGATCCTTGCACCTGAGTCTTTCTGACCGAGTTTTCCTGTGCAACCCCGCTCCACCAGCTGCTGGCTTTGTCCCTCTTACCAATCAGGCTGAAGAATTTGTTGTTACAGACTTCCAAAAAGTTCAGTTTTCTGTGTTCTGGCTGTGTTTTCTGTTGCTAATATTTTGTTGTCTCTAAACTTGGTTGTGTGAGAAAGCACGGTGTCTCTACCTATGCCTCCATCTTGGCAGAAGTCCCTGCTGACCATTATTCTTGATACATCTTGTCAGGCTCAAGTTAAAGTTGCATCCTGTTATGCTGGAGAGGCTGACCCCAGACCCCAGTCTTAGCCGGGTATCGTTTGTCCTGGGTATGGTCGGCAGGCAGTTTCCCAGGCAGGCATTTTCCCAGGCTACAGTTTCCCATGGTACAGTGTTCCTGCCTGGTGATTTTCCATTTCTCCCAGGCCTGCCTTAGTCTGTCAGTTTTGGAGTCCCCATTTCCAGGGCCCTTACTTGGACTTGAGAAACTGCATCAGTCAAGGTGTAGTGTTGAGGCAGGATAGAAAGAAGTTATGGGAAAATCCCAACAAGTAGAATGAAGAAGTAGGAGCATCATAGGCTGATAAGCTCCTAGGTCCCCCACCAGAACCCACACCTCCAAGCACGATCAAAGGGAAACCATTTATGTCAGGAAAACCCTGCAATGGTTGCAGAAGTCAACAACAGGAACTAGCTAAAGCCAGATCAGTCATTCCAACGTGGAGGAAAAAATAACCAGAAAGTGACCTCAGAGCTCCTTATACCATCATGATGAAAACCAACACTGGAGGGGGATAAAGGGCACCGGAGGGAGATGAATGCATGATACTTCTGGAAGGGACCATTAAAGGGATAATTGGACCCCTCCCAACCCAAAGATGGAGACTGAATTTGGTACCACAAACTTAAAGACCAGAAATCCTAAAATTCTGAGAACTGAACGACTGGGGTGCAGCTCACTCACCAGTTCTATTGAATCCAATTGGATGCACACTTAGCTTTTTCACATCCGTGCCCTGTGAGACTTGCAACCAAGGGATAACGGGCAGTGTCAGCCAGTCCCAGGCTAAACTTCTGATCTTGTCTCCACAAACTTATTTCCTAGCCTCTTTCTTTTTCTCTACCTAAATAAAACTTGCTTTTGTTCTCACTGTGACTCATTCTTAAAACATTTGCAGGGCAAGTCAAGAGCCTGGAGGTCGCCTGACACACACAAGGTCCTGGAGTGTGTCAGAGCAGGGCCAGATCTTGGCATGGAACCAGTCCAGTAACACTGTGGAGGGAGTTCCAGAAATTTTCTAGAAGAGCTCATTTATTTAACATACATTTTTTGACAGCCAGGTGCACAGAAAGCAGGCAATGTAGTCTCTATTCTCACATGGTTTACATTGCGGGGGGGGGCATGAAATAAACACATTAATAGAGAAATGAACAAGATTCTTTCAAATGATAACAAATGAATACAAAAAGTGAAACAATAGTACTTTATGGGGAACTGATTTAGAGGAGAGTGGAAGAAGCCCTAACTGAGATGCTAGTGGAACAAGACAGAGTTACCAGACCGGAGACCAGCTGAGAGCAGGTCTGCCTCAGGTGGACTGGTGGTGGGTGGGTTCTTGAGTTGGTGCGGGAAAGATTTCACAATACAAGTCCAAATGATTTTGAGAGTATGTTTATTAAAGCTGGGGACAGTGAAACAAAGAGGGGTTTAGGATAGGAGAAGCAACAGGAGAGAACCTAGGTGGGAATGCTTTGTCTCTCTAGAACTATTATAGGAAAGAAATGAGCTGAGGCTAAGCTGCTTTGGTTCACTGGGAAGTCAGAGAAAGGGGGGACTTGGAGAGAGATTCAGGGGGTTAGCCCAGGACAAGCTGATGCAGTCACTGGCAAGCATTGTGGCTGAGACAAGATGAATTCACATGGACTACTGAGTACTGTGGAGAAAAAAGGATGGCATGACCACTCTCAAGGGGAGAGTGAGTGCACTGACCCTTACCTTGACAAGCTTTTATTGGCTTTAATTTGCATAAGAATACAGGTCATATATGGAAGCTCATCAATCATTGTCAGGCAGTAATGATCAAATAGATAACATTCAGAGAACTCTGAGGGCTTATTTTGAGTCAGGGTCAGATAGCTAAAGGGCCATAAAAAAGTTTGTTTGGGGGAAACAAACTCATTTAATGCTTGGAACCTTATCATTTAAACTGAGGGTATTAGCAAAGCAGGTTTCACAGGATTTCATACATTCTTTCTTTGGCCTGATTGCCCCCCGGGGAATCCACCCTTTCCAGCACAGGGCCACACTCATCTCCCATATTGTTTCAGGCTTAGGTCAAGCAGGGGAAGTAAGGCAGCCAAGAGATTAGGAGACGTTTTGCAGACAGAATGAGGACTCAGGCTATGTCAAAGCTGAGGGGTGAGGGTCTATCACTCCCTTTCTCCATAGCACCCAAGTCCTTCCCTGAGGGCTCCCTCATGACCATGCCTGTCTTAGGTCATCCCTCCCTTGAGGAATCTTACCCATCATTGGCTAATCGGCCATGCACTGGGGGCCAAGCAGGGTGAAGTGGGCAGAGGTGGTGCTCCTGTGATGGATATATAAGCTTCGTCTCCTTAGTGGCTCAGGGTCTCAAGGTCTCTCACTCATCCTTATCCTTAGGGGGCTACAGTTTCTGAAACCAGGCAGGGCGGTTCCCAACATCAAGCTGCTGCTGCTCATTGCTCCCTTGGTTGCAAGTTTTGTGGGGACCCTTAAGAGTTTAAGGAGATTCACACCTGAAAGGAAAGAATGGTGTGGGCATGCTCCAGAGAGGCAGAGTGAGTTCTGGGACCTTCATTTTTTGAGGGTTTTTAAAGTCTGTGAGTTTAGGGGATGTTTTAGAGGAGGATCTCAATAGAATATCCACCATCCTTATGTTGATGTGCCAAAATGAGATTTACTCCCTTTAACTGCATCTGTTCTTGGATGCGGTTGTCACAAATGGCACTAATTGGATTTCTGCCATCTCCCAGAGTAGAGTGAGTTAAAGTACTTACTTTCTAGTTGGGGAGAAGTGTAAACCACTACTCCTAAGTGTCTTTGGTTAAGGAAGATAGGATTTCGAGATTTAGTAGATGACTGTAGACTCCTTGGCTGTTTACCTATCTGTCTCAGTTTCCCTATTCCACTTGTCCATGTTGAATCAGTAAACTGATTCAACATGACTGACAAGAAGGCACAGCCATTGCAAGGGTCTAGGACAGAGTGTTTCAAGACCAGAAGAGTTGAAGCACAGGGTTTGAGGAGGGGTGACAACAGGGAGGTCAGCCAGCTAAGCAAGGCAGTCATGTCAACCCCTCAGGCCCTGCACAAGTGTTTGGTCTCTTTAAAGTGGGCTGGGAAGAGAGAATTTTAAGTAAGGAAAGAGACCTCTACTGCTGAAGGATGTACAGCATGGCCTGTGGGTGGGGTAGGTACTACTAGAGGCTGGGAGAAAACAGATTAGTAGCAGAACGTCATTTAAGGGGCATATTAAACATGCTTTCTTCCACAGTACCAAGTGGAGGAGCAGGAAGCTTGTAGAATCTCGGGGGTGCTAACACAACATCCAGACCCCAGGCTGCCATACTCCTGCGAATAGGGTGAGGTCCAAATCTTTCCTGCCTAAAGAGGGACTGTGAGAGTTACACCCTGGACAAGAGAGTTAAGACTATAGGGCCGGGGTAAAGACCAGGGTGTAAAACATGGCCATGGGTTTCTTCTGATTACCTCACCCTCTTTACCATCATACAGTAAGCACTGAGTATTCACTTCAAATTCCTCTGCCCCTGTGGGGGAGGAGTGGAAGCCAGGTGGGGTTTAGGTGAGCCCATCCAGTTACAAAGAGACCCCCCCCAGCCCCAATATGTGCAATTTACCTCCTTAACCCCACGTAGGAGAGTGACATCAGCCAGAAGGTGGATCTCCCCTCCAATAACCTAGAGGCTGGGAACTGGCAGAGCGGACAACCTTCACCTCCTCTTCCCCCAGCTCAGCGAAGAGGGTAAACACTGAGAGCCCTGCCAGCCTGGGGAGATGCGGGTATTTTAATGCGGCGGTGCCTGGAACACAGCAACGGCTGCCAAGGGGATTGTATGCCACCTGACTGCATGCAGTGGCTGCAAGCAAAGAAGGAAGAGAACGCAGGTTGGCCAGCCGTGGAACTTCTGTATGGTTACTTTTATTCCAGGGGCTTTGGGGATGCAGGAGCCTCCGGAAACCTTCCCTAGAACCCTGGGAACCAGAGTCCCGGCCTGCTTTGCAGGTTCGGCGATCTCTGAATGCCGAGCTGAGAAGGCATCTCTCCCACTAAGCCATACTCAGGCCCCTAAGTTGTTGGAACCTCAGTTTTCCTTCTTTCCAATGGGGACATTAATGTGGGCCTGGTTTAAGGATTGTTTACGTAAAGCCCCTTACTCATCGTAGGTGCTTCAGAAATGATGATTTTTGCAAATAGTCCACTGAGAATATTTGCTTGCTAAGATCCTGCTTACACTGGGAAGCAAATTTAGGCCATGTAGGGGCAGGGAGTCCTATTTTATGGAGCATCTGGGGGGCACCACTTAGCCACAAAGCGTAGTCCATCGACCCTGATGGGGGGGGCGGTGTGGAGAATTGGGAGGTGCAGGGTCACGGCCAGAGGAAAGGAGGCTCTGGTATCCCAGAGTCCCACAAAAGGGCTCATTAGGCCTCAAAACTTGACTTTTCTACGTGGTAACATTGTGGCTCGCGACTGTGGCTCGGACTGGGATTCCGGCTGTGAGAAAGCCTGATTTCGGTTTCCTTTTCTCGAGCTTGCTGTCCCACCCCTGGCAATGGCCGAGAGACTTGCTGAATGATCAGTAACGTAGAAGAGTCTGAGGTTCCCATTGGCAGGCGGAGTTCAGCAGGGGCCAATCCAGGCGCTGGTCCGGCAGAAATCTCTGGAAGGCTCAGAAGAACTGGAAGGTTACTGGGAGGTTACCCTCACAACTCGGGTCCAACCACCTTGGGAGACAATGTAGGCCAGCCTTGGACTCGCCGCACGGAGCTCTGCACCGGTGAGTAGGGGTGTAGGATGAGAAACGCAGCAAAGCAGCCGTTACTTGCGCGCCGGGTCAGGAAGGCTCGGGAGAGGGTGAGGTCTGCTGCGTCCTCCCAGCCTAACCTGCCTGCGTGTCTTCATTGCTGTCAAGTGCCTAACGCAGACTCCTTGTAGCCAGAGCCAGAAGAAAGCAGAGCCAGAAGAAAGCTTGGTTGCTTGGAGCCAAGCAGATCGTCTGTCCCTCACCATGACCACAGTTATGTTTCCTTTCATTTCCCTTTTCCCCTCCTTTTGGTCTGAATAAACTGGTTTAGTCACATGTACTTGGAGCTATGTATCTCCTCCCTCTTTCAGCCTATTAGCACATTAGTATTTTTCCTAACGTTTTTTTCCTCCCAATTTTGGAGCAGATGGGTGGCAAACACTTCCAAATTCTCAATACATTTCAGTTTTGATACCACAACAATTTGTCTTTCTTCAGATGATGGTAGAAGGACAGTCAGTCCTTCATACATGCAACAAATATCAGGGCCCCTGTGGAGCCTTCTGTTTAACTGTTAGTCAAATTCATAATCCCTGGAATGTATTTCCCCAAGTTTAATCAGTTTTTTAAAAAGTAGACTTTATTTTTTAGAACAGTTGTAGATTTACAGAAAAATTGTGTGGCGAGTACAGTGTCCCCTTATACCCGAAATCTTTCCCCCTTTTATTAACATCTTACATTATAGCAGGGCACAAATGTTACAATTAATGAACCAATATTGGTACATTATTATTGACTAAAGTCCATAATATTCAAGTTTCCTTAGTTTTTACTTAAGTACTTTTTCTGTTCCAGAATCCCATCTAGGATACCACATCACATTTAATTCTCACTTCTCCTTATGCTCCTCTTGGCTGTGGCAGTTTCACAGACTTTCCTTGTTTTTGATGACCTTGGCAGTTTTGAGGAATACTGGTCATGTATATTATAGGATGCTCCTCTACTGGAATTTGTCTGTTTTTCTCCTAAGAGTAGGCTTATGGGTTATTGGCATCCCAGAGCTAATAGGTACTTTGTCATTTTCATCACTTCACATTTTATCAAAGGTACAAATTATCAGCTTAATTTATGACTTGATGGTTATCTTGACCACTTGGCTGAGATACTGATTGTCAGGTTTGTCTGTGAAGTTACTCCATGTTCTCCACCCTCCCCCACCCCCATATTATACTCTTTGGAAAATAGTCTAACTATGTCCAGTAGTCCAATAGCCCATACCTAAGGCGTGGAAAGTATATTTCCCCTTCTTAAGGGCATGTATGGTCATTATTATTTGAAGTTCTTTTGCATTGGAAATTTGTCTCTATCTTCTGCTATATTAACTTATTCAAGGAAGGACTTCAGAAATGAGGGGGCATACCTGATGAGCTGGGACTGAGAAAAGAACATGTACAAGGACAAGGCGTGGGGATCGAGGGCTGTGAGGGAGGGCCTGTGTTCCTGGTTCACTGTATGTAGCAAGCGGGTTGTAGGCTGGATGATTAACTGGGGGGCCAGATGATGAGGAGCCTGTGTGCTCTGCTGTGCAGCTTTGAGCTCATGAAGGAGTTTTGAAGCACTAGAGTAATGCAGTGAGACCTGTGTGTTACCTAACCCTGGCAGCACATTTCACCAAATCTAAGATGCCATCAATTATTTAATATCTTGCCAAACTATGACATGCCATTGATCACACTGATTTCAGAGATGGATAATGTAACATAGATATCAAATTTGATGAAAAATGGCAACTCCATGTCTCATGGCTTAGATCAGACATGGAGTTGTCAGACTCATTTTTGCCAGGGGCCACATCAGCCTCGAGGTTGCCTTCAAAGGGCTGAAATAATTTTAGGATTGTATAAATGTAACTACTCCTTAATTGTTAAGGAGTTGAAATTACATTTGGTCCTTTGACCAAGTGTAATTAGATCCTTCCTTCATGGAGTGAATGGTTAGACTAGTGCCAACTCACCTGTGCTGAGTTCACTGACTCCGTTTATGATCTTGAGAAAACTAATTTGATAGAACTGGCTTTTTTTTTTTTGCTTGATAGCCAAATTGTCAAACATCAGAACAATAAAACATTGTACCTGACTCAAAGATTTTGGCTATGTTTAGTGTACTCTGATTGTACTCAATAATAACACTGACTTTATGTTGTTCATTAAATATGCCTGTGCACTTGTCAGACCTTTATTTCAGTTTGTCCTGTTGTGATAGAAAAACTCAGTCCAACACTTACTAACATTTACCAGTTTATTTAAAGATATGATAAGGATTCAGATGAACAGCCAGATGAAGGGTTATATAGGGGAAGGTCTAGGAGGATCCTGAGTATAGGAGCTTTTGTCCCTGTGAAGTTGGAGTGCATCATATTCCCTCTTTAGATGTGTGCACCCACCTGAAAGCTCCCTGAACCCTGTACGATGGGGAGTTTAAGGAGGCTTAAGGAGGCATGATTGATTATAACTTCATTTATAGTCCCTTTCCCTTTGTTGAAATAGGGAGATGGGGCTGAAAATTCCAAGCTTCTAATCATAGCTTGGTCTTTTTAAAAAAAAAGTCCTCACCTGAGGACATGTTTTCCTGTTACTGTTTAGAGAGAGAGGAAGCGAGAGGGAGAGAGAGAGAAACATCAATGAGAGAGAAATATTAATCAGTTGTACCTTGTTATGTGCCCCTTGGGTATGTGCCCTGACCAGGAATTGAACCTGTGACCTTTTGCTTTATGAAGGACACTCCAACTGAGCCACACTGACCGGGGCTGGTTTTGGTCTTTTGGGTGATCAGGACCCACCCAGGAATCTACTCAGAGTTGCCTCAAAAGAACAAAATCTGCTCTTAGTGCTCTTACCACCTAGGAAATGATAACGCTTTCAGGAGCTCTGTGTCAGGAACAAAGGCAGAGGCCAGTATATATTTTTCTATTATTTCACACTTGTGAATGGCCTGGGTATTCCCTCCCACATCTTCATGGTGATATTGTGACCCAGAAAGGTCAAGAAATCTAGTCCCAGGCTGAATAGCAGAGTTGTGGAGGGTGAAACTCCAGATTTTAGTCCTAACACAGAACTCTTCACTTTAGGGTTTGGTTAGAATGACAGCTGGGGTGGGAAAAGATTCTGCTTGTGCTTCATCACTCAGAATTTCTATGAGCTGTGGGGAGGGCGCATGGTGGCTGAGAGCATTTGGGGATCTGTCAAAGCCCGGGAGGTTGTAGTCTTCAGGTGAGTGCCAGAGAGAGATCTGTCAATTGGTATCTGCCTTTTTACAAGACTGTTGTATAGGTAAATAGGCTCATTTTTCTGTACAAGTTCTTTGTATATTCTAGCTTAGTAACCTTCAATAACTTTCTCAGGATTCTTTTTTCTTTTTCTTTTCAGATGACAGATGAACCAAGCTGGCTGTGCAAAGAGGATATTTATTGGTTCATGTGACAGAAAAGTTCAACGGTAGGGTAGCTTCAGGCACAGCTTAATACATGATGGACCTGGTATCTTTCACTTCACCCCTGGGTTGGCCTCATTCTCAAACAGGCTAACCCTCTGGTTAATAAAATTGCTCTAGCAGCTGCTAACCATATGACATCAGCTCTTGCATGCTCTTGAGAAAGCAAAAGAATCTTTTTTCCCCCTGTAGCTCAACTAGGTCCCCTTGTGACTGGCTGTAATGAGTCATGTTCTCATCCCTGAAGCAAGCACTGTAGCTCGGGGGGCTTAAGACTATTTCTCTTGCTCCACTCTTGAACTGAGGAAGAGCTTTGCCTACAGCATATGATCCCAAGAAAGGGATTGGAAGAATGGAGGCCGGCTGGACCCCTCTTCCCAAAAAATAAACATTTACAGCACTTCCTAGTTGGATCAAGCAGCACCGGCTTATAGGATTCCATTGCCTATTACTGGGCCTTTCTTGTGTGATTTCTTTCTCTTTCCTTTTTTTTTTTTTCTTTAAGTGTTACACATATACACAGTGGGATTCTATTTCCCATTGCACTAGATTGGCAGAAACGTAAAAGATGACAATATCAGATGTGGGTATGGCTGTGGAGCAGTGTGAGTGCTCCTTGCCTGCTGGTGGGAATGTGCACTGGTACAGACAGTTTGGAAACAGCTCATCCTGAGCTAGTCAAGGCTGCATATACTTGCCTGTGTGTACTAGGCAGAAATGAGCAGTGTTTGTAATTGTCCCAAACTGGAAGCAACCCAAATGGCCATCAGAAATAGATTATGCCAGAAGTAGAATTCTATAGTCATAAAGCAATGAAAATGAACAAAAGCAACTCACAAAGGTTTGTGACTGAACCTCACAAACATGATGTTGTTAGTCCCCCTCCAAAAATGCAATGTTTTTTTGTTAAGATTTTTATTTTATTTATTTTTAGAGAGGGGAGGAGAGGGAGAAAAGTCGGGAGAGAACCATTGATGTGCAAGAGAAATGTGATCAGTTACCTCTCACACCCCCAACCGGGGCCTGGCCTTGCAACTTGGACTGGAAATTGAACTGGTAACCTTATGGTCTACGGGACAATGCCCAACCCCCTGAATCACACCAGTCAGGACTTAAGTTGCAATGTGATTCCATTCTGAAGCTTAAAATGAGGCAGGTGAACTCTTTGCATACGTAGGTATAAAACTGAAGGAGAGGGAAGAGTGATTATCACACTACTCTGGTATATATCACAGCAGCCATTTCCTCCTCCCCTGCTTTCTTTCTGTTCCTGGAGCCAAACCTTGGGTTCTGTCACTGGTGGTGACTGCTCTTGCTGCTGTGGGGAGTATGAAGAAATGAAGAAATCACCTCTCTAGTTGGTTACCACCTTGCCAGAGAGAAAGGACACATGGCTGAGACTATTTGCACAGCTTCTCGGACACTAGGGAACCATTTTGTTGGTCATCTGTGCCTGGGCTTCACCCACTTTCCCCACATCCTCAGCCCATTCCTTTCTGTAGCACTGCACTAGATTCTGGGTAAGGCAGACATAGTCTCTGTGGCTTGGGAAAAGCTGGCATTAAATGAGTTAAGGCTTGATGCAGAGAAGTACACTGTGCAGTATGGAGTGCTCTCTGGCTGTAAAAGAAAGATTTGTCAGAGGAGGTAGCTTTCAGCTGAGACTTCAAGCTGGAAAAGGGGTTTGCTAAGCAGAAAAGGAACAGTGCTCTCTACAGAGGTTATAGCATTTGTGAAGGGCTCAGGAAGGAAAGAGTGTGGTGCATTTTGAGGCTTGGAGTTGGGTTTGGTTTTCCTGTGGGGTGGAGTTTGAGGTGGGAAGTAGCAGAAAATGTGCCTGGGACAAAGGCTAGGCCTTGAGGATCTGGGGCCTCACAAGGCTTGAGAAGGAGATTTGACTATATCCTTGGAGTAATGGTGTGCCATTGAGGGATTTTAAGCAGGGTGGTTACCTGAGCATACTTGCATTTTTTTAAAAAGATTTTATTTATTTATCTTTCAAGGGGAAGGGAAGGAGAGAAATATCAATGTATGGTTGGCTCTCGTGCATCCCCTGCTGGGAACTGGCCTGCAAGCCAGGCATGTGCCCTGCCTGGGAATCAAACTGTGATCCTTTGGTTCTCACGCCTGTGCTCACTCCACTGAACTACACTAGCCAGGATGCATACTTGCATTTTAACACATGGAAGGGTCTGTTTGAAGGACCAAAGGAAGGCACTAAGCAATGGAGAGAGGAGGTTTAAGTAGATTGGAGACTCTTGAAGGTAGCATAATTCCTACAATTAGCTCTGGTTTCAGCTTCTAAAGAAAAGTTTACTCAATTATGTCCCTAAATTTAAGCTCTAGGAGGATGGGGACTTTTCCATATTTTTTTCCCTGCTGTATTTTCAGTGCCTGGCACATAGTAGGCACCCAGTACGTACCTAGTAACCTGTTGGGTGAGTTATGCCACCCTTCTACCTCAGACCCTCAGTGGCATCTTTTTTTTCCCTCTTTTTTATTTTATTTTGTTAACATAATTAGAAATTTTTTCTCTATTTTTTAAAAATATATTTTATTAATTATGCCATTACAGTTGTTCTATTTCACCCCTCATTCCTCTCTACCCTGCATACCCCTCCCCCACCACTCCCCCCCTTTAGTTTATGACCACGTGTCTCAAGTTCTTTAGATTCTATATTTCCCATACTATTCTTGCCCTCCCCCTTATTTATTTTCTACCTACCATCTATGCTACTTACTCTCTGTACCTTCTCCCCCCTTCTCCTCCTCCCACTCCCCTGTGGATAACCCTCCATGTGATCTTCATTTCTATGGTTCTGCTCCTGATCTAGCTGTCCTCTTAGTTTGCTTTTGTTTTAGGTGTGGTTCTTAATAACTGTGAGTTTGCTGTCCTTTCACTGTTCATCTTTTTTATCTTCTTTTTCCTAGATAAGTCCCTTTAACCTTTCATATAATAAGGGCTTGGTGATGATGAACTCCTTGAATTTGATCTTATCTGAGAAGCACTTTATCTGCCCTTCCATTCTAAATGAAAGTTTTGCTGGATAGATGATCTTGGTTGTAGGTCTTTAGATTTCATGACTTGGAGTACCTCTTTCCAGCCCCTTCTTGCCTGTAAGGTCTCTTTTGAGAAATCCGCTGACAGTCTGATGGGGACTCCTTTGTAGGTGACTGTCCCCTTAGCTCTTGCTGCTTCTAGGATTCTCTCCTTCATTTTAACCTCGGCTAATATAATGATGATGTGCCTTGGTGGTTCCTTCTTGGGTCCAACTTCTTTGGATCTCTCTGAGCTTCCTGGATTTCCTGGAAGTCTATTTCCTTTGCCAGATTGGGGTATTTCTCCTTTATTATTTGTTCAAATAAGTTTTCCACTGGTGGCTGTTCCTTTCCCCCTTCTGGTACTCTTATAATTCGGAAGTTGGAACGTTTAAAGATATCCTGAAGGTTCTTAAGCCTCTCCTCATTTTTTTGAATTCTTGTTTCTTCATCCTTTTCTGTTTGGTCATTTTTTTCCTCCTTCTGGTCCACTCCCTTGATTTGAGTCCCAGTTTCCTTTCCATTACTATTGGTTTCCTGTGTATTTCCCTTCATTTCAGTTAGTTTAGCCTTCATATGTTCCTCTAATTTGTGACTAAAATCAACCAGTTCTGTGAGCATCCTGATCACCAGTGTTTTGAACTGTGCTTCTGAAAGTTTGGTTATTTCTTCATTGCTTAGATTTATCGGCTCTGGGGCTCTGAGTTCTTGAGTCATGTTTTGATCTGCTCGTGCTTGTTACGTATGAGGAGCAGAGCCTTAGTTGTTCACCAGGGTAGGGCCACCCAGGTCGCTGGTTTGTGAGGCTTTATGTGGGGGCGGGGTCAGAGAGGGGCAATGGAGGTTCCCTCTGCTGCTTCCCGTCGCTGGGGCCTGCACGGTCTGTCTCACTGCTCTCTCCTTCACCGGTTTATCTGCGTGCAAATGTGTGACTGTGATCAGTCCTCAGTGGATTCGCCTGCTTCTCCACACCTGGGATCCGCCCATGGCTGCTGGCACACCTGGGTCTCGTGCCCAGTGGGTCCGGTGGATCTTTCCTGCCTGACCCTGCTCTGCTGCTGGCTCTGCCCCTCTTACTGGTTTGGCTGAAGGTTTCGTTGTTGTCAGACTTCCGTGTAGTTCAATTTCCTGTCGTTTGGCTGCATTTTTGTTGCTAAAACTTTGTTGTTTTTAAACTTAGTTGTGCGAGAAGGTGAAGTGCTTCTACCTACACCTCTATCTTGGCAGAAGTCCTCCCTCAGTGGCATCTTAAAACCATGTCCCATCTACCTCCGTTCCCTGGTGACTGTTGCCTCTACACACCTCTTTGAGCCTGGTGGGGATTGCCATTGGGCAAAGTATGCCTCAGCCTGCTCTATGCTTCAGAGTACCAATTGTGCTCAGCCCTGTGGGGAAGAGTAACCAACCACGTGTGATCTCAGCAATGCACTGTTCATAAAACTGGCATCTCCTTAGATGACCTCATGCCCAGCCCACAGCCACAGCCATGGTTTAAAGCCTGGGGAGTCCAGGCCTTTGGTGTTGACAGGAGGGGTGTGCCTGCCTCCTGCAGTGTCCAGATCCAGATCGTTTTTTGGTTGTCTCGAATTCTGTCCTCTGCAGGTTTGTTAGATGTATTTCACAGAAGTTCACTTTTAGGGGAATTTGTTTAGGTTAAGAAATGGAGCTTAACTGGGGGCTCTGAGAGAGCTTTTTAAATGGGGTTTCTATGGGCATAGAGCTCTCAGCCTAGTGCTTTGGGATTACAAGGAATAAAGGGCTCTTGTTTGGAACCGCAGAATGGGCTTGAGAAGCACCCTGGAGGCTGGGATGCAAATACAGGCCTTCCACTCAATTCTGTGTGCCTTGGAGTCCATGACTGGGATCTAGTGTCTTCTAGGGTTCCTTTCTGTGGTGTGTAGGAGCCCAAGGCATCAGGAGGCAGGGAGGAAGGTGTGGGATGGCAGAGACCACAGACAGTTAAGGGAGAGTATAGCAACTGCTAGGGCAGAAGTTGGCAGCTGTTAAGAAGTAAGGGACCACAGTTCTGATTCTTTCCTTCTGGAATTTGTCCTGGCAGGAGTGAGGTGTGAAGTGTAGTCGTCTACCCACAGGTGTGGGCTTTCCTGGCCATGTTTCCCTCTGCTTGTTTGCAGCTCACAGTGGTTCTCATAGCTGCAAATTGTGCATGGCACCCACATCCTGAAATGTGCTACAGGAAATTACAGTGTCCCCTCAGCCATTCTTTTGACAGGTCCCCAGGAGGTATATATGAGATCCAGGACTCCAGGGGAGAGGGGAACTCAGAAGGGTAGGGAGTGTCTCCAGTTCTGCCTGGTTCTGCCTAGTCGCAGCCAGCTTCTGGTTTATTGAACGGAATGGAAGACCTGCTGCCCTGGAGCCAGGAATTTCAGAATTCTCATTTGGGTAAAAGGAGTGGAATGGACGGCATCCTCTCTGAGGCTTTTTTCCAGCTCTGGCTTTTGTGATTTCTGTCTGCCCAAGAGCCAGGAGTGGAGAGAATCATAGTTTTACCCATTATTGTGGAAACTCATTGAGATAATCCAAATATACTGAAGGCATAAATGATGGGCACAATCATTGGGAAATGTGCTTAGTTGGGGAAGTTTTTGTAGAGGGTCAGTTTTACATTGGACCTGAAAGGACTGGGTATGGGGTGATGAACCTCTATTCTGATCTGCCATGTCTGCTGCACTCTAATCCTGTTTCCTATCATTTGAGATGAAGTGCTTAGGTCAGTGTCAGCAGTAACATGTGCCCCTTTACTGTTGTCAGCACTCTGCAGCTTACAGAGCCCTTCCATATAGGTGACATCCAAGCTTCGACAGTTCACCTGGGTTAGGAGCAGAGTCCTGGATGGCCAAGGCATCAGCACCAGACACCGCTTCCTAGCCATTTGCTCTTGAGCAAGTTTCTTATCCCACGGATCCTCAGCTTCCTTAGGAAGAGCATCCTGAGCACTGAATAACATAAGATGTATAAATAGCAGTAAGGTGGGTCCCAAATAAATGCTGTCTCGAAGAAGTTGTTAGTCACCTGGTTTTTGGGTTGCAGAGCCTAAACTTGAACCTGAATTGCCCACCCAGAGATTGATACCTAGGTCTAATATATTTTCAGCAATGCACTAAGTCATCTTTCAGTGTATGCTATAACATGTTCAAGGTGGAATCTGTATAGCCCAGTGATGGTCTTGAGCGTAAAAATGGTAACACATTTTGTTCATCTTTTTTGTCTGGTTATTGTAGACTCTTAGATGGTGCTGTGCAGGTAGCTTTGTCTTCAGTTCTTCTGAATCCATTCATGGCTTCACACATATGCCTTGAGCTTTTACAAGTTGTCAAGTACCATGGTCTCTCTATTAGTGATTTTCAACATCTTTGGTAGTTACAGACCCTTGATAGAAAACTGTAGCCGCCCCCCCTCCTCTGAACCTTTTTCTAACTTGTTGTTTTTGTTAAACCATAGAAGTTGTAGTCATGCAGCCCTAAGTATTGCAGCATGCATTGCCTAAACATGAACATTCTCAGTCTTAATAAATACTATTTAAATTATTTATGTATTGGGTTTTCTTAAATTTAGTTTTTTAAACATAGCATGAGAAAGGTGTTAAGACTGGTTTAATAGCTCAATTGAATAAGTATTCCAGATTTTGGGGAAGGATGTAGAGGGAAATATTCAGACCCTTCACCACAATCTCCCCAACTTGATCATAGCAGGTTAATGATGTGTTTTGTGGATGTGCTTAGTCAATGAGACCAGCCTGATGGATCTTGCTTCCTTCACCAGGTCCCATTGAATTATCTGGTCCCTTTGGCTAACGAACCATTGGGTGAGGAGCAGCGATATCATCATGGTGATGTTCTTCAAGCGATTGACCAACCTATCAGCTTGCAGAGCTGCCATTTTAAATATAAACAATAATTTTATAATATGATATAATATCTAGACCTTTGTCAAATTTCCTTAATTGTTCAAAAACTATTTTTATAGCTTAAAAAAAAAAGAGCCAATCAGAGTTTTTGCATTTGGCTGTTACATTTCTTTAGTCTTTCTAAATCAATAAAAGTCCTTTGTTATTTTTTATGACATTGACTTTTTTAAAAGACCAGGCCAGTTATCTTGTGGGATGTCCTGTTTTCTGCATTTATCTGATTGTTTCTTCATGGTGTGGTGTAGCTCATTCCTCTTTTCCTCATATTTTCTGTAAACTGGAAGTTAGGTCCAACGGCTTGATTTGATGCATTTAAGTCAAACATTTGTGGCAGGACCACTTCAAAGGTGATGTGTAATTCATATGGTTCCATATCAGGGAAGCATATACTAGGTTGTCCCTCTATCAGCAATGCTGGGTTTGATTGCTGGTTATGGTGATCACAGATCTCTCCCTTATCAAGGTACATTAGAAAGTAACCCAAGGGGAGGTACTTTGGTTCCATGGGACTATCCTCAACACCTTCACCACAGGTTTTAGAATTCATTGAAATTGTTTGTCTCATAATGAAATTGCAAGATAGTGTTTTTCTAATCTATTGTCCCCCACTGCACTTATTTATTAGTGTTCTTCTGTGATCCCTACACAATTTTATTTTTTGATTACATGTGCAGTCATACAGTTTCAGGTGTTTAAAGATGCATCAGAGCCCAGCATGGCTCCTGGGTTTAGAATTCCTGCTCTAAAAGAGGAAAGCACCTGACTGTCAGGTTTGTGTGGATGGGAGCTATGGATGAGCTCTTCCTAGTCCTTTTGTCCCTCTGGGTAGTTGCAGAAGAATGAAATTTCCCAGCCCCCAATGATAGCTCATGCCATCCCCAACAACAGAGAAAACAACTTAAGCTTTTAACCTTCTAAGCCCTCAACACAGTTACTTGGTGATGGACTCCAAAGCCTGAGGAGTCCCCTCTTTCCAGCCCTTTGTGTTTGTTACAGCTCATTCCCTCAATAGGCAAACCAGGGAGCTGGCCCAGGCAATTCCTCAGATTTTTACCAGCCTCAGTATCCTTCTAAGTATTTATTACTTCATATGCCAGTTAAATTACTCAACCTCCGACCTGTTCATTTGAACTTTGTTTTCCACACTCATTACATCTTAAAAATCACAGTTTTCTAACTCCATCAGAGCATCTAGTGGAGTTTATTGTTGGCAGTATGATAGTCCCTTACATTGGTGCAGTACTTTTACTTTATAATGCATTTTTAAAATATATTACTTTATTAGATCCTCAAGAAGTAGACAACATTTCTGCTTTGTTTTTCCTTTGGGTCTTTAGAGCCTGGGGGTTATTTTTAGCTTATTCTTGTCACTACGGTGAAAGAGCATGAAGGCCACTGAGCTCTGTTGCAATGGATATTCACTGGACACAATCCTTAATAGCATTGACTTCTTCTGGCTCCAGGTGCTTCGTTCCAGCCTTAAAGTGGTCCATGTGCCCTGCTGTTGCCTGTCTTCCTGGCAACTACTCTGGTTGCCTTCAGGATCCACAGCGGAGCAAATTCTCCATCCTGATCTTTGAGGAGTGTGTGTGTCACCATGGCTGATCTCCTCGCTTCCTTTCTTGCTTCCACTTAACATCTCCACTTTGCATCAGGTGCTTTGAATACTCCTGGATTTGGAAACCGTGTGTTCTGGGTTCTTTCCTAGATTTGTTTCTGTGTACTGTGCTTATGCATAGTACTTTCAACATAATTCTTTCACTCAACCCACTTAGAAAACCTTGAAGGTAAGTGTCACTTCCCCATTTTATGTAAGGCTTAGAGTATTTAAAAGAGTTCTATTGTCACAAAGAACCAGGACTGGGAGGCAGCTGCTGAGTCAGGAAGTGGGCCAGGGTGGCAAAGGTAGAGAGATGCATTAAAGTTCTCTCTGCTCATTATCTGTGCTCCCTCTGGGGGCCAAGCCTCAGGAACATATTGTAGTCACAGCCAGCTGAGTGTTCCTGCACATTGGTTTCTTTGTAAGCGCAGCTGGGACAGTGCACCATTGTTGATAGCAGAGTGGCCAGGCCAGCTACATGGCCAGCTTGTGCTAGGCCAGCCGGCTGCCCTGGAGCCAGGAGCTGTCCTGGGGACAGCTCTGTCTTGGTAGCTGTCCTGGGGACTTGAACCAAACCCAAAGCACAGCACAGGCCAAGAAAACATCTATGAAGTGAAATACCAAAACTCGTACTGTGGGTGCTTCTTGAGTCTTGGTAAAGAACCTCAATACTCTTAGTCTTTGAAACCTGGAGGATTAAACAGAAGGAGTCTCCTTACTGGGGATGTGAATAGCTGTGCAGCCTGTGCCCTGCATATCTGAGAGCTTTGCTCCATGGTTGACACTGTAGATGTGTGTATTTATTATCATAGTTGGTACATCAGTTGATCGAAGGAAAAGCCCTTGAGGCAGGACTGCTTTCCCAACCCCACAGCCTGGGCTCAAGACATCTTTCCCTGCCACTCTACCAAGCCACACACTCCACGCCCCAGTTTCCTCATCTATAAAATGAGGGGGTTGGACTGTGTGGTCAGTAAGGTGCTTTTACTCTGCTAATACGTGAGCCTTGTAAGAGCTGGTCAGTGTTTGCTGATTGCTGGGCCACAGTGCTCTGTGTGAGGTTGCCACCTCTGCGCTCTGCTGTGCCTGTTCTTGACTCCCATGTCTGGTCTCCAAAAAGCATAAGCCATCACCAGTGAATAGAAACCCATCTGAGCTAAGGACACCATGGCCATATCAGCATCACTGTAAAATCTGGAGGAGGAGGTGATCTGCTTCATCTGCCTTGATTACCTGTGGGACCCTGTGACCATCGACTGTGGCCATGTCTTCTGCCACAGCTGCACCACTGACATCCACCCTATTTCAGGGGGGCGGCCTATCTGCCCCCTCTGCAAGAAGCCTTTTAAGAAGGAGAACATCCGCCCTGTGTGGCAGCTGGCCAGCCTGGTAGAGAACATCGAGCAGCTGAAGGTGGACAAAGACAGGCAGTGGGCAGATGCAACCCAGGAGCAGCAGGACGTGAAGCTGTGTGAGTGGCACTGGGAGAAGCTGCACTATTTTTGTGAGATTGCTGCTGTGTGTGCTATGCAGGGAGTCCCAGGAACATCAGCCCCACAAAGCTATTCTGCTGGAGAAGGCTGCCCAGCCCCACAGGGTAAGTAAGGCCCCTTCAACCCCAAGAGGCTCTGCTTTGCACCCATGTGGAGGCCAGACCAGGCCTGGCCAAGACCCTGCTGAAGGCTTCTAGCTGGCCAGGGACTCATCTTGAGTCTACTCTGTTGCCCCAGCTCAGAGCGTGCGCCTGTCCCCACTACTTGTCTTTCCATAGGAACAAATTCTGAACTACCTGAGCACTCTAAGGAGAGACAGAGACAGAATTCAGGGCTGTCAGACGAAGGGAGAAGCTGACTTCCTGTCTGCACTGGTAAGTGAGGCTTTTAAGGGGGAGCCTGGAGACAACGGGCTGGTGCAGCAGGACATCCTGGGCTTGCAGAGATGCAGTAGAAGGCCTGTGTATGGCTCAGCCCTGTCAGCCTGAGCTCTGTGGCTTTGACCTGTGCCCTGGTCTGACAAATGAGTGGGTTGCCTAGGTTTCCGCTAAGGTCCCTCCTTCTCTGTAACTCACCTCAGCTGCAGGGCCAACTCTGTGAGGAAGTCAAGGTGAGGGGAACTAAGGAAGGCCTGGCTCCATTCTTACTTTCAAAGAGGAGAAAGACATGATTCCTATGAGAGTAGGTAGCCAGAGGGCTTAGAAGGAGGGTACTGGTTCCAGGATAAGAACTGAGGGTATGGATGAGGATGCTGTCTGGGCCCTGTACTTATGGCTGGATGCCCATTTTTGGGAACAGATAGTGTTATACCCAGCTAGGAAAATTACAGCTAGGGCATTACCCAACCCTAAATCTGCAGTTCCTGGAACAGGGTAATGAACAAACATCTGGGAACAATTGGGTTTAAAATTCTAGCCAAATAAGGTAACTAACCCGGGCCCGGCAGAAAGTGCCTGCCAGCAGCAGCACCCACCAATCAGGGGCCCTCGCCGTTTTTAAATAAGCCAATAGCTAACCGCCACCTCTGCTTCTGTATGCCTTTGCTTGCTTGCTAGAAAATATAAATACCCAGTAGTCTGTAAGCCAGGTGCGACTTCCATTTTGTAGCTCTGAGTAGCTACGTGACTCCGGTCACAGTTGGGGAAGTTCACCCCTGCGCAGGAAAATCTTTGGCCATTAAAATTTTTATCAATTCAGTTCCGGACTCCGAGAGTGTGTATTTACCCGCCGATCATCTACAACATTTGGGGGCTCCTCCGGGATCTACATACACTCGGAAGACCATCAACCACCGGGCCCAGTAAGTTTCGGCAGAACTGGGGTACCCTGATCTTGGAAACGGTCTAGACCTCTTGAGCCCCGAGGGGGTAGGTGGGACGCTACCGGCAGTCCCCCGGGGGATTTCCAAGGAGAGGACGCTCTCGGGAATCGGAGCTGGGCTCCCGCGACTGGGTCGCAATTGGTTTTGGTTTTCGCGCCGCCTTGCACAGCGATATTGTGCTTGCGTGAAAGGATTTGTGTCTGTGTGGGCGCCTTTTGTTGTTTGTCCAGAAATTGTGTCTAAAATTATATGTGTTCCCTCTAGGCTTAACAACTCTTTTAGTAGCCCTAGGACTCTGGGAGATCACCGAGGTCTCCCGCCGCAATTCCAAGATGGGACAGGGAGGATCTACGCCCAAGACCGTGCTTGAATGCCTCCTAAATAATTTTTCTGATTTTCAGAAGCGCGCCCGGGGTTATGGGGGCCCACCGCCCGACCCTGAGGTACTGCGAACCTTCAGTGAACTAGAATGGCCCACCTTCAACATAGGGTGGCCCACTGAGGGGACCTTCTATCTTCCCATCTTATATGCAGTACAGAGAGTAGTATACCAGGTACCTCATCCGGACCAGATGGTATACATCGACGTTTGGGTGGACATAGCCACCGAGCATCCAGGTTACATCCGGCCATGCCAGCCTGACCAGAGGAGGATGCAGCGCAGTGTCTGTGTTGCGGCGAGGGGGGTAGTAGAGCCTGCCGCCCGAGGGGACAGGGAACCCCGGTCCCGGGTTCAGCTAAGGAAAAGCCTCGTTTATACCCAGTTCTCTCCGAAGCCCCGGAGGACCCCCTGATCGAGCCTACTGCGGCGCCACCCTACAATCCTCCGCAACCAGATTCCACCACGGGAGGTGACCTCAGGAGCCCGCCCCATACCAGGGGCCGGACACCATATGGGTTGCCTCAGCAGGGAGGCGCCGCCATTCTACCTCTCCGTGAGGTGCCGCCTGGCCCAGATGCACCAGCACAGGCACCACCTCGACTAGTCTATGTTCCTTTTTCAACCAGTGACCTGTATAATTGGAAACTCCAGAATCCTCCTTTTTCTGAAAAACCCCAAGGCCTCATTTCCCTTTTAGAAACCATTTTCAGGACCCACCAGCCAACCTGGGATGACTGCCAGCAGATACTCCAGACCCTTTTCACCTCTGAGGAAAGGGACCGAATTATGAGAGAAGCAGCCAAGGCTGTGACGGGAGAAGAGAGGGGTACCGCAGAAGGGAGGAGGGAGGTAGAGGATGTCCTTCCCAGTCAACCCCCAGATTGGGATCCTAATTCGAGCGGGGGGGGGGGGGGGGGGGGGGCGCTACTCCAGTATCGCCGGGCTCTACTACGGGGGCTCAAGGCAGCAGCTAAGAAGCCTACTAATTTTAGTAAAGTTAGTGAAGTAATCCAAGGTAGGGAGGAATTGCAAGCCGCCTTCCTAGAGAGGCTTATTGAAGCCTACCGGTTATACCCCACTAGACCCTCAGGCACCCGAGAACAGGAGACTACTCAATATAGCCTTTGTAACTCAGGCAGCTTCAGATATTAGGAAGAAGTTACAGAAAATAGAAGGATTTGAAGGGGAGAATATTAGCAAATTATTAGAGATAGCGCAAAAGGTTTTCATCAATAGGGATGATCCTGAGATTGGTAGGGCAAAGGAAGTAGCCAAGATCTTAATTGCCGCCCAGAACCCAGCCCCGAAGGGTGGAGGGAAAACGGAGTCAGGACTAGGACAGCGACGGGCGCCAATAGGCAAGAACCAGAGCGCTTTCTGCAAGAAGAATGGACATTGGAAGCGTGAGTGCCCAGAGTTGCAAGCCAAGGTAGCTCAGCAAAGGACGGGGGCTCCTGTCCTTCTCCAGACTCTAGACTGACGGGGCCGGGGCTCCATCCCAGTTGGCTCCCAGGAGCCCATGGTCACCCTACAGGTCGAAGGGAAACCTGTCAATTTCCTAATAGACACGGGAGCCACCTTTTCAGTTTTAAAGCAACCCAAAGGACAACTCCAGAAGGCAACTACAAAAACTGTAGGGGCAACAGGCAAAGAGGAGGCATACCCTTGGACCACAGCTCGAGTAACCGATTTGGGGTTGGGCACCATCACGCACTCATTCCTAGTAATTCCAGACTGTCCGTCTGTATCCGCTGCTCGGGAGAGACTTGTTGCGGAAGCTACAGGCCACCATCACCTTTAGGCGAGATTCGGAGCAGGAGAGTAATGAGGCCTCTCAAGAAGGAATGAGGCTAGAAGTCACTGTGCCCTTGTCGGAAGAATACCTACTTGTCGCCCTCCAGGAAGGTAAGGCAGAGGGCGGGGTCCCTGAGGACTTACTAGCTGAGGTTCTGGGGGTCTGGGCGGAGACTAATCCCCTGGAACTAGCTGTTCATCAGCCACCAGTAGTAGTCCAGCTGAAGGCCACAGCTACCCCCATTCGGGTCCGACAATACCCGGTGCCAGCGCGCGCTAAGCAGGGTATTGCTCAGCACCTGAAGCGCCTCCTGTCGGCGGGCATCCTGCGAGAATGCCAGTCTACGTGGAACACTCCTTTGCTGCCCGTCCAGAAGCCGGGGACCCAGGATTACCGCCCTGTCCAGGACCTGAGGGAAGTAAACTCACGGGTAGAAACTATCCACCCGACTGTGCCTAACCCTTACACCTTACTCAGTTCGTTGCCTCCAACGTACACTTTTTACTCCGTACTAGACTTAAAGGATGCCTTTTTCTGCATTCCCTTAGTCCCGCAGAGTCAGGATATGTTTGCCTTTGAGTGGAACGACCCGGAAAACGGCCTATTAGGCCAGTATACCTGGACGCGTCTACCACAAGGGTTCAAAAACTCACCTACCCTTTTTAGTGAAGCCCTAGGCCGAGACTTGCAGCCCTTCCGTACCAGCCATCCTACCATCGTGCTCCTGCAGTATGTAGATGACCTCCTGATTGCCACAACAGACCACCAGGAATGCCGTGCCGCTACCAAGGAGCTACTACAGGAACTAGAAGGAATAGGGTATCGCGTCTCTGCCAAAAAGACCCAAATTGTTCAACAAACCGTAAGTTACCTAGGGTATGACTTGCGTAAAGGTCAGAGGGCTCTCTCTGATCAACCCATCCAAACAGTCCTCCAGATCCCCGAGCCCACATCGAAAAGGCAAGTACGGGAATTCCTAGGGGCAGTAGGATACTGTCGGCTCTGGATCCTAGGATTCGCAGAACTAGCCAGGCCCCTCCACGAAATAATGAGAGGGAGCGAGGAGACGTTTACTTGGACTAACAAGGAAAGACAGGCCTTCCAGGCCTTAAAGGAGGCCTTAACTACTGCCCCCGCTCTTGCTCTCCCAGACGCCACTAAGCCATTCCAGCTCTTTATAGCTGAGAAGAAGGGGGTAGCCCTAGGAGTACTAAGTCAAGAATTAGGCCCCTGGAGAAGACCCGTGGCCTACCTCTCCAGGAAATTAGACCCTGTAGCCTCCGGCTGGCCGGCGTGCCTGCGGGCACTAGCAGCCACCTCCTTGCTAGTCAAGGAAGCTACCAAATTGACTTTAGGGCAAGATATCCAAGTTATTGGAGAGCATTATTTAGAACAAATTTTGCGGGCTCCCCCAGATAGGTGGCTCTCTAATGCGAGGCTAACTCAATATCAGGCCCAACTGCTGAATCCTCCAGCTGTCCAGTTCCTAAAGACGACTGCCTTAAACCCGGCGACCCTGCTACCTGTACCCGACTCCTCAATTGTCCATAACTGTTCTCAGGTATTAGAGACTATAACTGGCTCACGCCCCGACCTGCGTGACCAGGCCTATGAAAAGCCTGACTTAGTCCTCTTTACTGATGGAAGCAGCTATGTCCTAAATGGTGAGAGGTTAGCAGGGGCCGTAGTAACCACAGAGGAAGAAATAGTCTGGCAAAAGGCTTTGCCGGCAGGGACATCAGCTCAGCGAGCAGAGCTAATTGGCCTCACTGAGGCCCTCAGACTGGCAAAAGGGAAAACGGTCAACATCTATACTGACAGCTGGTATGCCTTCGCCACCACGCACGTCCACGGAGCCATCTACAAGGAAAGGGGCCTCCTCACTTCTGGAGGTAAAGAAATTAAGAATAAACAAGAGATCCTGGACTTGCTAGACTCCATTTGGCTACCTAGCAAGGTAGCAATTATCCACTGCAAAGGGCATCAGAAAGGTGAGTCCTCCATCATTCGGGGAAACAACCTAGCTGATGCGGCAGCTTGGGAAGCTGCCGTCAAGACAGAGAAGGTACTTCCAATAGTGCCCAAGCCAGAGCTACCATCCAAACCCAGATACACCCCTGACGAGGAGCAAGCAGGCCTTCAAGCTGGAGGGGTTAAGGACTCTGCTGGATGGATAATATTACCTGACTCCAAGATCCATCTACCTCTAGGGGTACTACGGGCGGTAGTACAAGATCTCCATTCTAGCACCCATTTAGGTCAGACTCGATTAGAACAATTGATAAGAAAATATTACTCAGGATCAAAGATAAGAGAAATCCTTCATTCAGTTACTACTAGGTGTCAGATCTGTGCTAAGGTCAATGCACAGAACAAGAAATTCCCCCCCTTAGTTAGATATAGAGGAAAAAGCCCAGGTGAGCTATGGGAAATAGATTTTACAGAAATGGTAAGAGGAAAATCTGGGTATAAGTATCTCTTAGTACTAGTAGACACCTATTCAGGATGGGTGGAGGCTTTCCCCACAAAAGGGGAAACCGCCTCCACTGTGTGCAAACTCTTACTGAGAGAAATTATCCCCAGATACGGACTTCCATTAGCCGTGGGATCAGACAACGGCCCAGCTTTCGTTTTGAAGGTATCTCAAGAGCTAGCCGCTAGGTTAAAGATAGAATGGAAGCTCCACTGTATTTATAGGCCTCAGAGCTCAGGCCAAGTAGAAAGGATGAATAGAACTCTAAAGGAAACCATAATAAAACTAAAAGAGGAGACCAGCGACAACTGGGTAGAGCTACTCCCTTTCGCCCTTTTTAGAGTGAGATGCACCCCTTATACTGGATCCTGGACCCCTTATGAGATAATGTTTGGACAACCTGTCCCCATTATCCCCAGACTTTCCAGTGAAGAAATAGCCAGCACAAATCATAACTTCCTTAAGTCCCTCCAGGCTTTGCAACAGGTGCGACAGGAGATACGAGTCCTACACCACCAGCCTCCAGCTGAGACAACCCGATGGCAAGCTCCACCTGAACCAGGACAATGGATCTGGGTCCTTAACCATCGCCGGGGAAGCCTAGAGCCGAGGTGGATTGGGCCCTTCCAGGTCCTGCTCAGCACCCTCTCTGCAGTACGAGTAGCAGAGAAGCCCTACTGGATTCATCTATCACACACGAAGCCAGCCCAGCCCCCAGAGGACCACCAAGGAACATGGCGGATCAGCAAAGATCCCGAGCAACTGCTAAGACTGAAATTTCTCAAACAGTAAGACTTTTCCTGCTTGTAGTAACTCTGCCCCTAACCCGTGGAGGATTCCAAGCTAGCCCCAAGGACCTCCACGCAGCCCTTTTTGGACCACCCTGTGAGTGTAGAGGAGGAACTCATACTGACTATGCCATACCCTCCTCCTATACACGGACCACGGATTGTGGAGCTACTGTAGCTTACCTAGCCTATTCTAGAACCTCCACAGGAGTCAGCCAGCCCGAATGGGTATGTGTACCAAAGCCTACATGGTTTCCTCCCTCTCTTACTCCCCTTGCTAGGGCCTTTACTAACAGTAATATTAATTTTAACAATAGGACCCATAATATTAAACAAAGTGTTTGCATTCATCAAAGACAGAATAGATGCTGTCAAGTTAATGGTCCTATCCCAACCCTACACCATCTTACTCCAAGAAGATGAGTCAATGGTTTGACCACCTCCCCACAGAAAAGGGGGGAGTGTTATACCCAGCTAGGAAAATTACAGCTAGGGCATTACCCAACCCTAAATCTGCAGCTCCTGGAACAGGGTAATGAACAAACATCCGGGAACAATTGGGTTTAAAATTCTAGCCAAATAAGGTAACTAACCCGGGCCTGCCAGAAAGTGCCCGCCAGCAGCAGCACTCACCAATCAGGGACCCTTGCCGTTTTTAAATAAGCCAATAGCTAACCGCCACCTCTGCTTCTGTATGCCTTTGCTTGCTTGCTAGAAAATATAAATACCCAGTAGTCTGTAAGCCAGGCGCAACTTCCATTTTGTAGCTCTGAGTAGCTACGTGACTCCAGTCACAGTTGGGGAAGTTCGCCCCTGCGCAGGAAAATCTTTGGCCATTAAAATTTTTATCAATTTGGTTCCAGACGCCGAGAGTGTGTATTTACCCGCTATTTGTCTACAACAATAGCACCTTATGTGCTTCTGTAGAAATAGAATCAGGATGGAAAACTGAAAAGCAGATTTCAGTTTTCTTTGGGAAGTGGGCATTGCAGTGATATTGGGACCAGGCCTGGCCTTGAGTGATTGGACCCTGGGAGAGGGAGAAAGTGAAGCAGGAGAGAGCTCAAGTTCAAGGAGTGTCTCTAGTCCCTCAGTATGTGTGGATGTAGCCCAACCTCAGTCAACCTGGACGCCAAGGGCACTGACTAGATCTCAGCCTGGACTTGGCAGTGAAATTAGAGACAGGAAGGGTCATGGTCCCTGAGCACAAACCTTGCACAGTCTCAGTAAGGGAGCAAGATACAGCTCTATGTGCCAGGGATGGGATACACAGATACTTTGTATGTGGTGGGGTGCTGAAAAGATAAAAGTAAGCTTCCTACAAGAGGTGACATAAAGAGATTGGTGTTCAGGAAGGAAAAATGTGTTAGCTCGCAGTTCTTCAAAGAGCCCCGGAACATAGTGGTTTACCTAGAACAGATAAATGTGCTGTTTATCTGCACATGTGCTGCACATGTGTTTATCTGTAATGTACTGACCAGTCTGTGGAGTTAAGGTCACAGTCTTGCAGTGGCTGGTTGAACTGAACTGACTCATGGACTTTCTTCCTCAAGGAGGGTAGGTTGGCCCAGGAATGCTTGAAAGCACCCTGCCTTCCAGCCTGAACTCTATAGAATATGTGAGTGGGGGTAGCCATAGGAGAAGAGCCAGCCTTGTGCATCACTAACATCAGGTCCTGGAGGGATTTCCCACCACAAGGCAGAGGCATCAGCCACTTCCCACTTCCCACCTGCAGAAGCAGCTCCAGGAGCAGAGACAGCACATCATGGCTGAGTTTGAGCAGGGCTACCAGTTCCTGAAGGAGTGGGAGCAGCATCCGCTAGGCCAACTGGTGAGGCTGGAACAGGAACTCACAGAGGGCCAGGAGAAGCACAACAGCAGGGGCATCTTGGAGCTTTCTCGGCTGGCAGGGCTCATCTCTGAGCTGGAGGGCAAGGTGCAGCAGCCAGCAGCAGAGCTCATGAAGGTGAGAGACCTTCCTGGGCAGGGAGCCCCTCCCTGTCACTGTAGGACTATAGGACCTCAAGACAGTCATTTTCTTTGGGGGCCTCTATTTCTCATCTGAAACATGGGACTGATAATTCTGCTCCTCCCACTGATATTCTGTTGGTTTCTTGAGCATAAAATGAGATGACTGGCATGGTGTCACTTTCAAAAAATTTTTTTCTACAAAAGTTCAAAAATATTAAAATGGAAGGGAAGGTTATTATGATCTTCATTATTATCTTCTATCCTCATCACTGTCATCATGAGCCTGTCTTCTAACAAGTCACTGGGTGAGACCTGCCCAATGGAAGCTCTTGATGGTTCTGGAGATGCAGCTGTAGAAGTTGGGGGTGGCTAAGGGAGGGCCGATTGGCAGTTTCTCTTGGGGACCCATAGGGTCAGTCAGATGGCGAGGTTGTCTTTGGTACTGTGGAATTACCCTCAGGGGAATGGGAAGCAGGTGAGTTGCCTCTGGAATGCTTCTGATGGAGACAACTTTGATGCTTAGAAAGGGAAAGTCTTGGACTGGAGAACAGGTCTTCAAATTGAAGTGACCCCACAAGTCTGTCCTCCTGAAGCCTCCTGGAAGGGTCTCACCATGCTGCACAGGGCTCAGCAGCCTGTGGAGGAGCCTGCTCAGTTCCTGTTCTCCTCCACTTGTATGATTGGGGTGCCTGGGCCTGTCCGTAGCATAAATGCTACCCCATCCAGTGGCACAGCAAGTCAGTAGCTGGCAGAGAGTTGGCAGAGCTCATTCTCCAAGGTTCTGTGCCAGCCTAGACCTCACAGGTGACTTCCTCCTGCCTCTCCATCATTGTGCATTCAGACTTAGGAGTAGCAGGGATTTTAAAATGCTTGCAGTGCAGTACCACACTGATGAAGTCACTGAAGGCCAGAGAGTTGAAGGGGTCTGTCCTAGGCCATGGGGCAGGTCAGGAGTCAGTCAAAGCTCCAGCCCTGTGTGCTCACTCCCAGGCCTCTGTATTCTTACTCTTACTCTTTTTTCTCACTTTATATAGTGTGTTTTTGTAGTTCCATCTTTCCTGCAGATGTATTCTGTTCCTTCAAATCTCTCAGACTCTGACTGGGTCACTTGCTGTCCCTCCCTTTCCCTACCTCCTCTTCTCCTCCGTGCAGGGACAGGCATCCTTACTTTCCTCCAGCCACCACTGGCGGATGTGCACTTGTGTGTGGAGCAGAGGGATGTGGCGGGGTGCTGCTGGGCTGACATACAGTTGTGTGTGCCCTGAGGTGAGCCTCTCACCACCATTCCACTTAAAGGAGCTTCGTGGGCCAGTGGAGGCCCAGCCTTCAATGCCTATAAGACTACTCAGATTGAAGACTTCCCTGGGGTAGGTGTCAGAGAAGAGAGAGAGTTGGGTGTCTGCTTAAAACTAACACGTGAAATGTTGTGCTGGTGGGTTTTGTCTGTTTGTTTTGATTTTGCTGCAAGGGAACTAGACAGCTAATTCCTTAATTGTCATTAATATTTTTTCCAGAGATTATTTGAATGTCAATGGACAATAAGAATGAGATCCTATTGAGATGGGGGCTCTGATCCAAAAATCTAGTAGAGAAATATAGGTGAGTGGGAAGCAGCTGGACAAAAATATGTAAAATAGACCCTTTGACAAAAGGAATGGAAAAGGAAAGGAAGATCTCTGGACCGGGAATTGTGAGGATATTAAGGGGACAGGCAGATAGGAGTGGCCAAAGAGACACTGACATCCTCTCCAGTTCAGCCCTAGACAGACCTTGCAGGGTTGGGTGGCTGCTCACACCTCTGCCTTTCCCACTGTTGGTTGCCTCCTTGCCTATGAAGAGCCCCTTCATGAGTGCTCTTTGTTAGTGCCCAGGTGTTTGCCCACCCAAGAGTGCCATGTTTGTTTCCTGTTACACGGCAGCCCCAGAAGCCTGGGTGGAGGCCTGTGTGTGGCTTCAGGTTGCCTTGGATTCCCCAGGCTCCCCCTTCTGTGTCCTTTGGAAGAAGGGTTCCTGCACTGGTCTCTGGGTCCCTCTCTCTCTGGGTCACTGAACCCCTTTTTCCCTTAGACAGTTCTCACTGCCCATTTATTTGCTCTTTTATACCACTGCAGGCTGTATCTCTGCAGGCTGGTTGGCACACACTGCCTCACGCTTGTCCCCCAGTCCTCAAGCTGGCTTGGACTTAACTTGTTTTGAGGGACAGATCAGAAGAATTTGCTAGAAACTCAAACACCTTTGGGCAGTTTCTTCCTAGTAGGAGCAGGATGCAGCTCTGCAGCAAAACCCACCTCTTCCTGAGACTTTTTTCTGAAACAGTCGTCAGCAGCCACAACTTGGCAATTCCATTTGATTCCCCAATCTCACCCCTACCCTGTTCCCCTTAACTCTCCTCTTTCTTCTTCCTGTAACCCTCAGGTATTTCTATAGTATAATATATTTGTTTTGTTGACGGTTTGCTGACTGCTTCCCCTACTACAAGGTCAGCTCTAACAAGGGTAGAGATTTGTATTGGGCTAGCCAAAAAATGTGTTAACTTTTCTTTTTGGGAAATAAAAGGCACATTTTTCATTATCATTAATAACTTTATTTATTTGAATATTTTGAGTATGTCGGCTATCTCCCACATGGTGTAATGTGGATTGTTCTCAATGAATGTCTCAGTTTGACCACTATCAACTTCAACTGGTCTACCCAACTGTGGAGCATCATCCAGTGAGAAATTTCCAGCATGAAACATTGCAAACCACTTTTGACATATTCAGTCAGTCACAGCACCTTCTCCAAACACTGCACAAATCTTTTTTTAAAAAGATTTTTATTTATTTTTGGAGAAGGGAAGGAAGGGAGAAAGAGGGACAGAAACATCAGTGTGTGGTTGCCTCTTGCATGACCTCCCACTGGGGACCTGGTCTGCAACCAGGCATGTGCCCCAACTGGGAATCAAACTGACAACCCCTTAGTTCTCAGGCCAGCACTCAATCCACTAAGCCACACCAGCCAGACTGCACAAATCTTTTTTATTTGCATTTTAGTTGTGTTTTTGTCTTTCTTGAAACAATAAAGCATGATATGGCAAAAATGTTGTATATTTTCTTTCATCTTCAATATTAAAGTGGCTACACAAAAATTTACAAATTGTGATTTTTTAATGCACACTCTTATGATAGCTGTTACAGTACAATCTAACAAAATTGCTTCAAATGAAATTAAAGACATCTAAGCACTACTAGAGCCATCTTACAGAGAAAATGAACTTTTTGGCCAACCCAATTATCTTTTTTTCTTAACTGCTATCTATATTCCAGGCTTCTAGAGCAATGCCTGGTATGTAGGAAGCAATATTTGTGAATGAGTGAAAGGAAAGCAAAACTTGATATAGAGTGTTATGGAGCCTTTAGACTCACAAGAGGGAAATAACTAGCATCTCACAAGAACCCCCTCTCCATTCTATTATGTCCCCATCACACACATGGTAGCACTGGTTTCCCTTCAACTCAAGCCATGGCTCATCCTTTATTATCCTTCATGGCTGTGTCCAGTCAGGTATGTCTCAAGCATACCTGGTTCTCTGTCTCTATTGCTGCTGCAGCTCCAGGCCATTTTCATTCTTTACCTGGTCCACGGCAGCAGCCTGCAGACTGGCCCCCATGTTCACATCGCCTCCCTCAACTGATGCTCTCAAGAACAGCCAAGTGATTGATCACTCAGGATTTGGGCCAGCTGCTCAAGTACAGTGACCCAAACAAAACAAGATGGTTTGTCTTTCAGTAAATCAGAGTTGGGGAGTCTGGAGCTATCAGGGCAGCTGTCTGTGAGGTCAGCAGAGAACCAGGTTACTTCTAACCAGTTTCACTAACTTTGAGGGATATTGTCATCAGCTGTGTAGTCAAAGTTGGGCTCACCACCACCACATCTAAAATTCAGCCAAGGAGCCCTGGCTGGTGTGACTCCATGGATTGTGTGCCAGCCTGTGAACAAAAGGGTCGCTGGTTTGATTCCTAGTCAGGGCGCATGCCTGGGTTGCAGGCCAGTTTCCAGCAGGGGATGCATGAGAGGCAACCACACGTTGATGTTTCTTTCCTTCTCTCCTTCCCTTCTCCTCTAAAGATAAATAAATAAAATCTTTAAAAACAAAAACAAACAAAAAAAACCTGTTAAAAAATCAGCGAAGGAAAAAGATGAAGTAGGAAGCAATTTTCTGTTTTTAAAGGACAGGGCCCCCAAATTGTAGTCAATGCTTCCTTTTATATCCCATTGGTTAGAGCTTAGTCCATGACCAGACCTGGTTACAAGTGAATCTGGGAAATGTAGTGTTTTGCGGAGTTCTGTTACTAAAAGGAAGGAAGGGGATGCTGGAAGTCACAGCCACATGAAAGCCACCCTTTGGTGCTTTACTGCTACATATTGAATGAAGTTTCACGTCCCTGCTGTTCCTGTTCAGCATTGCATGACCTGGCCTTGCCTCCTTTGCCAAGCTCTTTTCCACCTTCTCATTCTTCACTTGGCCAGCACTTTTTTCTTTCAACTCTAAGCACAATGTCATCATGGAGAAGTTGGCCCTATCGTCTGTGCCCTGTATCCTCCCACACAGTTGCTGTGTCATATTTTTGCTGATGTTGTTACTCTTTTATCCAAAGCTGTCACTAGAACATTAGCTGCATAAGGAAGGGACTGTTTCCCTGACTCTGATACAGTGTTGCTGTAGGTGAATGAAGTCTGATTCACATTGATCCTTGTGCTTTCTTCCCTTCTAGGACACCAGAGACTTCTTGAACAGGTAAAAGAGCTTCCTCTTTGGACTGTGCCACACTCATTCTCCTGTGTCTGTGTCCTTTCCATTTTTCTTGACCGTGATCCATTTTAATTACTGGGGAGAAATGGTGCCAAAGGTGTACTCAGACCATGGTTCCTCCTGGGAAACAAGAACACAGTCTTGAACTGGAGATTTGCTGTCCACTGAAGCAAGTTCTTTGAAGCAAGTTCTTACTCCTTGGCTTGCCCTCCTTGTCTGAGGTGGGACAGGTGGAGAGGGCAGAAAGGTGGCTCAGTAAACTAAAGTGTGCTGGAGGTTGAGCCTGCTGATGGTTGTAGTTCACTTAGTGTCTTTGGACCCATTTCTTTGTCTGATGGGGGACAATCACGCTTTTCCCTCTCCCCTTCATATTTGTCATGAGGACTAAGAGAAATGCAAAAGGAACTAAGGTTATGTCTGCCATCTTCTCAGATATTCACAGAAGTAGTTCTGGCTTGGGGAACCCATTGCTTGAGTGGTTAAAAAAAGGACAGGAGAATTCTCAGAGAAACTCCTGTGTCTGCAGCGAAGCCTGAGAGAATTTCAGGGTAAGGGTTGGCGAAAACCTTGGGGTGTGGCCACGGAGTGGAACTGGCACTCTGAGGAAGGGTCCCATTCTCCTACTTTGGTCCTCTGAGAGTCTCTTTATGTGAGAAATTAGCCTGTACATTTGCTGGGCTTGAGGGTCATTGCTTTTCTTTTTTTCTCCCTAGGGAAGCTGCTGAGAGACTTGGAATATAGAACAGGTGAGTATCCAAAAGGTTGTTTCTGGATTTGCCTCAAATAAAGAATACTCTTCTCACAATAAAGAGATTGTGATTGTCCCCTGGTCCCCCAGGGAGTCCCTTCTCTTACGCCACAAGGAGAATTTTCCAGCTGCTAACCTCAAGGCCCCCCTTGCATTTTCCGACCAACTCTTCAAGCTGCAGGAGAGACTGCCATGTGGTAGTCTGGCCCTTCTTGCCCTGTGTTTGGTTATTCTTGCCTCATAGGTCCTACAACCGGTCCCTTCATGGTGACTTACTTTCTTCTTATCTGCCTGATCACATGCCTCCTGAGGCCAGTCCCTCTTGGCCCTGTCATCAGGTTGTATCCTACATGCTCCGAGGGGCCCTGTGCAAGTGGACCAAGACGTGAGTGGCCCCCTGGGATTGTGCAGTGTGGCAGCCCTGCCATGGACACTATGGAGACTGGTGGCCCCTTCAGTGCCCTAGTGACACTGTTACCTTTTTTGTTCCCACAGTGAGTGTAACCCTGGACCCACAGTCGGCTAGTGGGTACCTGCAGCTGTCAGAGGATTGGGAGTGTGTGACCTACAACAGTGGCTCGTACCAGAGTGCTTACCTGCACCCCCAGCAGTTTGACTGTGCAAGGTCTACTGGGAAGTGGAGGTGGACAGGGAGAGGTGGTCAGAGGATGATTGGGAAGAGGAGGAAGAGGAAGAGGACGCTGTCTATGGGGATGGATATGATGATTGGGAAAGGGATGAAGATGAGGAGTCCTCCTTGGAGGATGAAGAGGAAGAAGAGGAGGAAGTTCTGGAAAGCTGCATGGTGGGTGTGGCTAGCGACTCAATGAAGAAGAAGGGAGAGCTCTCCCAATGGGGTATGGGCCCTACGCCTCTCCTCTGTGGGCATCTGGGCCAATACCAACACTGAGGCTGAGCTCTTCCTGTCAGTGCAGCCCCAGAGAGTGGGCATTGCCCTGGATTATGAAGGGGGCACCGTGACTTTCACCAATGCAGAGTTGCAAGAACTTATCTACACCTTTACTACCACATTCACCCAGCGCCTGGTCCCCTTCCTGTGGCCGAAGTGGCCTGGAACACGTCTCCTGTTGAGACCCCGAGTGCCCTGCCTGATGCTTCTCTCTGGCCCCCACTGCTTTTGGAATTCCAGGACTGAAGGGGGAAGGAGGTGCCTGAATCAAGGAAGAGAAGGCACCCTGAGTCCTCTGCTGGTCCCTTCCCAGTGAGCGTGGTCCCTGAGACCTCACTCAGTGCTGCTGTTCCACCCACATTTCCTTGGCCTGCTCTTCTAGGGGTCCTGTGCAAACTTCTATCCCTGAGGTCCACATGGGCTCCTCCCTTCCTCCTGCCCACTGCCTTTGACCTAGCCCTGCATTCTCTTTGTTGAGTAAAGGCCAGGCAGCATTTTCTTGCCCAGTGTAGCACCCCATGTCAGATGTCCTTGGAAAAAATTAGTGGACTGTTTCACCCTAGCCATTTTGCTGTCCCCAAATCCATAGCTTCTCTCTCACACAAATCCACTGTGCTATCTTCCCTGGTACTTAAAACAGCTCTCCCAGCTCAGTGAAACGTATGAATAGGCTGAAAATGAACCGAATGAAAACCTAGTGAGGCTTCCCTGGCACTTGAGTGAAGCACCTAGAGTCCAATGGAAGTTGTCTTCTAATAGTCCAGAGCAGAGGTTATGCTCTTCTGAGATTAGGACTGTGTATGTGAAGTTCCAGGTCCTAGAAGGCGGGGCTCCTTGCAGCAGTCTGTGGTCTTGGGAATGGTCTAAAAATATGTGGCTTTGGATGACAGTTATAATCAGTCCTTGTGAGGAGAGTTGTTTTTTTTTTTTTTAAAGAATCCAGAATATCTTGTTCTTTTTAGTCCATCTAAAAACACCAGGGCAGATACCCAGTCAAGCAAAACCTCTCCTGCTTTGGAAGCTCTGACAATTTTCTTCAGCAGGGTCTCTAGACACTGGCCCTATCATTTTCCTAGTAGAGGGTCTAGGGAGGGCAAGACAGGCTGTGGGAGAGGAAAGGAAGGCAGCAGGAGTCCACGAGTCTGCCAGGGCTTCATGTCAAGAGAGGAATTAAAGTAAATCTGCCCATAGGCCCAGCCTGAATACCAGCCTCTGTCCAGCCCCTAGTGTCCCCAGGTTAACACACCTCCCTGTTCCAGCCAGACCACCTTGCAGCCACTCCCCACCCTGCCTAAGGGACTGCTCCCAGCTGCTATGGATCATCACACTGCTTTCGTGGCTAGCATGCTACCCAAGTCACGAACATCTGACTTCTGTCTCTAGTTCTGTAAGCTCTTTGAGGGTGGGTATCATATATGGTATTTTTCCTGTATCTCTATGGCACTTAGTGCACTGCTGGGTGCAGAACAGATGCTCAATAAAATCTTGTTGACAGCCTAGATTTATGTATATTTTATTATGACTCAGTTATCACCAGACCTTCTCGATCTGTGATTACAAAATCCCATTGGCAGCAGTAGCCCAGGGCCTTTCTTCTGGGTCCTTCAGAACTCTGTGACTTTACTTTCTGTCCTTCATACATGCTGTCATTGTTGGAAACCCCCCAAACACCCCACATGGGACTTAGGCCAGCCAACATCAAGGTCTGGCATTTGTCTGTGATGGAGCTCTGGTGGAAGGGTGTTATCTACCATAGCATTCCCAAAATCCTTTTTTGGGAAATAAGCAGTACCCCAAAGGAAATACAGCCTAGAAATTCAGTCTGTCTCCTGACACCACTCTCTGACTATTTCTTGTTGGTTTTGATATTTTTGTTTTGTTGCCCTGTTAAAGACAGAAAAAAGGGGTTACACAATGTACCTCTGAGATTCACTACACAAGCAGCACACTTCTTCCCTGGACTCTCATTTGTGATTCATTCATATTTCACCTTCTTGTTTCTTTTCTAAATACATGTATGCAGAATATGTGTCAGTTATTAGAAATAATACATGTATTATCAATTATAATGCCCATTAATCTACATCTGAATACTGATAGACAGTAATTACTAGCATATTTTTTATTGTTCAGTTATAGTTACCCCATTTTTTACCCACCCTCACCACCTCCTTCATTCAATCCTTTCCTTCATTGTCTATGTCCATGGGACTTTTATGCACATTCCTTGACTCAACCCTTCCCCTTTTCTCTCCCACTATCCACCTCCCCCATGCCTTCTGGTCACTGTTAGGGTGTTCTTTATTTCCATGTCTCTGGTTATATTTTGCTCCCTTGTTTCTTTTGTTGATTAGGTTCCATTTATAGGTGAGATCATATGGTATTTGTCTTTCACTGCCTGACTTATTTCACTTAGCATAATGCTCTCCAGTGCCATCTGTGCTGTCCCAAAGGGTAGGAGCTCCTTTTTTCTTTCTGCTGCATAGTATTCCATTATGTAGATATACCACAGTTTTTTTGATCCACTGATTTACTGATGGACCCTTAGACTGTTTCCAGCATTTGGCCATTGTAAATAATGCTGCTATGAACATGGTGGCACATAGATTCTTTTGGGTTGGTGTTTCAGGATACTTAGAGTACAATCCCAGCAGTGGAATTGTCAGGACAAAAAGCAGTTCCATTTTTAGTTTTCTGAGGAAATGCCATACTGTTTTACACAGTGGCTGCACCAGTCTGCATGCCCATCAACAGTATATTAGGGTTCTCTTTTCTCCATAGCCTGGCCAGCACTTGTTTGTTGATTTGTTTATGATGGTCATTCTGACAGCTGTGAAGTGGTATCTCATTCTGGTTTTAATTTGCATCTTTATGATGGCTAGTGACGCTGAGAATCCTTCCTATATGTCTCTGGGCCTTCCGTATGTCCTCCTTGGAGAAGTGTCTGTTCAAGTCCTCTGCCCATTTTTTAACTGGGTTGTTTGTTTTCCTGGAGTGGAGTCATGTGAGTTCTTTATATATTTTGGAGATCAAACCCTGGTCAAAGTTATCATTGGCAAATATATTTTTCCATAGAGTTGGTTTTCTTTTCATTTTGCTGATGTTTTCTTCAGCCATGCAGAAGATTTTTAATTAGATGTAGGCCCATTTGTTTATTCTGTCCTTTATATTCCTTGCTCTAGGGGACATCAGTGAAAATATTGCTCTGTAGATTTTCTGTGGAATATCAGATTTTCCTGTCTATGTCCTCCTCTAGGACTTTTATGGTGTCGTGACTTATATTTAAGTTTTTTATCCATCTTGAGTTCATTTTTGTATATGGTGTAACTTGGTGGTTGAGTTTCAATTTTTTTTTTGCCTTACCTATCCAAATTTCGAAACCCCCTTGTTGAAGAGGCAAAAAGAAAACTCCATTTCATGCATCTACCCCCTTTGTCTGATATTAATTGACTGTATTGACACACATTTATTTCTGGGCTCTCTATTCTGTTCCATTGATTTATGACTGCTCTTACACCAGGACCAGACTGTTGTGGTTACAGTAGGCATGTAATATAGTTTGATATTAGATATTTTGATTCCTCCTATTTTGTTCTTCTTTCCCAAAATTGCTGAGACTATTTGGGGTCATTTATGGTTCCATATAAATTTTTGAAATATTTGTCCTATGAAATATGTCATTGGTATTTCAGTAGGGATTGCATTGAATCTAAAAATTGCTTTGGGTAGTGTGGACATAGTGATGATGTTAATTCTTCCAATACATGAACACAGTATGTATTTCCATTTATTTGTGTCTTCTTTAATTTCTTTCTTCAGTGTTGTGTATTTTTCTGAGTACAGGTCTTTTACCTCCTTGGTTAGGTTTATTTCTAGGTACTTTATTTTTCTTGTTGCCATAGTAAATTGAATTCTTTTCCTAATTTGTGCTTCTGACATTTCATTTTGATGTACAAAAATGCCTCGGATTCCTGAATACTGACTTTGTATCCTGCTGTTTTGCCTAATTCACTTATTAGGTCAATAGTTTTTTGGTAGAGTCTATAGGATTTTCTATGTACACTATTATGTCATCTACAAACAGTGACAGTTTTCCTTCCTCCTTTCCAATTGGATGCCTTTTATTTCTTTTTTTTTTTAGGTCTGGTCACTGGGGCTAGGTCTTCCAATATTATGTTGACTAGAACGGTGAGAGTGGATACCCTTGTCTTGTTCCTGATCTTAATGGGAAAACGTTATTTTTTGTCCATTGAGTATGATATTGGCTGTAGGTTCTCATATATGGCCTTTATCATGTTGAGGAATGCTCGTTCTCCTATTTTGTTGAAAGTTGTTATTATAAATGGTGCTGTACCTTATCAAATGCTTTTTCTGCATCTATTGATATGATCATGTGATTTTTATCTTTCCTTTTGTTTATGGGATATATTATGTTCATTGATTTGCAACTGTTGTACCATCCTTGCGTCCCTGGGATGAATCACACTTGATCAGGGTGTTTGCTTTTCTTAATGTATTATTGGACACGGTTTGCCAATATTTTGTTGAGGATTTTAGTGTCTATGTTCATTAGCGATATTGGCCTGTAGTTTTCTTTCTTTGTTGTGTCTCTATCTGGTTTTCAAATTAAGATGATGCTGGCCTCATAAAGAGTATTTGGAGTCTCCACTCTTCTTGGAGTTTTGGAATAGCCTGAGAAGGATAGGGTTTAGCTCTTTCTTAAATTTTTGTGAAATTCTCCTGTGAAAGTGTCCCAACCAGGGCTTTTTTGTGCCAGTAATGTTTTGATATTGCTTCTATTTCACTGGATGTTATCGGTCTGTTTAGGCTTTCTGCTTCTTCTTTATTCAGCTTTGGAAGATTATGTTTCTAGAAATTTGTCCATTTCACCTAGGTTTTCAAATTTCTTGGCATATATTTGTTCGTAGTAATTACTTCCAATCCTTTGTATTTCTGTGGTGTCAGTTGTAATCTCTTCTCTTTCATTTCCGATTGTATTTATTTGGGTCCTCTCTCTTATCTTCTTGATGTGTCTGCTTAAAGGCTTGTCAATTTTGTTTATCTTTTCAAAGAACCAGCTCCTGTATTTATTGATCCTTTAAAATTGTACTTTTAGTCTCTATGTTTTTTAATTCTGCTCTGAAATTGGTAATATCCTTTCTTTTACTCACTCTGGGCTTTGTTTGTTGTTATTCCTGCAGTTCTTATAAATGTAGGCTTAGGTTGTTTATTTGAAATGTTTCTATCTTTTTGAGGTAGGTCTGCATTGCAATGAATTTGCCTCTCAGGACTGCTTCGCTGTGTCCCATAGGTTTT